GTACCCCTGACAGGTGATCTGATAATTACATACCAAAATCCATAATGAGTTAATGACTAACACCGTTAAGTCTTAGTTAGTTTTAAAAGACAAATGATAATTACGTATTAGACACCCTTAATGACAAATGATAATTATGTACTAAACATCCTTAATGAGAATGAGAAGTAGCGAACGAGTTCAGTGTTCCTATTTATGTCGTGTTACATCCAACAATGAAGCACTAATATATTTAGAGGGCATTTAATTTGAGAGAAATAATGCAAATTTCATTAACTACATTGAGGGATAATCAAGGTGTGCTATGTTTAATTTATCACTATTTGATTTGATTTAAACTTATTGATTTGATCTGATTTGATTAAATTTTGATCTTATATATATGCTAATCGAAAAGGGAAAAAATTATATCAAATGAGGTCTAATTAGAGTTTTACTAATGTGTATTTTTCAAATAAAAAATTTGTATTATAATTTTTTGTAATTAGCAATAAAAGATAGCACATGCATAAACGATAAATTATGACCTGAAGTAATTTTTTTGATTTGATTTGATCTGATATCTTTTTATCTAATTCATCTGAGCTCAATTTTTTATTTGATCTAAAATAAATAAAAAATAATAATGTTATTAAATAAGATGAACATAGCATAGCCTAATTAGTTTAAGAGGGAATGAATAATTGCTCCTCGTTGGTCTTTCCTGGATGTTTTCCATATGCAAAGAAACATTGAAAGATAAGGGCTTAATTAAAAGGGACCCAAATTAATTCACTTTTGCCACCCCTAAGGCACTGCAAAGAATCTTTTGATGTAGGAGATTTGACTTTTGTATTCGAAAAGCTTTGGGCCTAATTACATCGCTACATCTGGATTTTGGACAATTAACTGGTCAACCCATCGCCTTAGTGGATTTATTTTAACTTTATTTTTGGTGGCTCTGCCCAAAAGTACACACCACGCGCTCTGTCTACCCTTCGATTGATGACTCTTTTTTTCTTCTTCTAAGCCTTTCTTCAACTCTTCAATAGTTTAACAACTCAACTAGATCAGAGTTCCTTCCTCATTCAATGTTACTAGGTGTTGAAAGTGTGTATGTTCCTATTCAAAGGTATAAACCAGACACTTTCTCTATGATCATAATTTTTTTTTTTTGAGTTTTATTGTGTAGTCATCACATTAACAGGTCGAACTGATTTGTTCAATTAAATTTGAAGTTTTCTTTTTTAAGCATACTATGTTTTTTTTAGGAAAAACGTTGGGGGGGGGGGATTATATGAAATCATTGTCCGCCAAAATAATGCTTTGAGGGAAGACGTCCATACAAATGAGTTTCGCATTACCCCACCAAAGCATACTATGTTATCCAAATTAAATGGTCAGTGCAGAATGACGCATTTTGGATTTTTTTTTTCAAACATATACTGAGATCAATTAAAAATACATTTTCTAAAAACATATGCTCCATATTAATAAGTTTCAATTGTGTTTTTGTGCAATTGATGAAAGTAAATAAGAACATTAAAATAAGGTTTGCCTGGTATATATTCAGTTAGTATAGACCGCAAAATCTTGAAGTTTTTCATAAATAGTTTGATATAATTTGCAAAATAAAAATTTAAGTTTGATGATAGAAGTTCCACCAAAGAAATTCAAATTAGATCTTTAATTTTCTTGGTTTTCATAATTGACTAAAATTGGGCCAAGGGAGAAAATTTGAAGCTAGAGCTCTTATAATCATACTCTTATACTAGGATAGATGTAATTCATCATGCAATTGAAGAAAAAAAAAATGGTTCAAAGTTGAACAAATAAAATTTACAAAATTTCTACTCCATAAATTGTGGTAAAAGGATGTTGAAGTATAACTTTACTAAACAATACATGTAATTGACCTACACTGATAGAAGATAAGAGAGTTAATACTTTATAAAGTTAATAATAGACTACTCCTCTTAATGTCATATGGTTTCAAGATAAAACCTGATTAAACTTGTAAAATAGACTCTCTATATAAATGATGAATACCCTCTTGTTAATTATATAGATAGCTATAGACTATATTGAATAAATATTTTCACATTATCAAACTCGAAAATCCATGACAAAAGAAAAATACTCCGTAATTAAATTAGGAAGTGGATTAGACATGGGACTAGTAAATTAAATTAACTATCAACGGCAGTTATCTAATTATAATCCCTTAAACGGAACAATACAGTCTACGTCTGTCCAAATAATGAAATTATAATGCATGTCCAAGCTAAGTAAGAATTGAAGTTTAACAACTCATAACCCCAAGAAAAAAAAATAAGAAACTCAACATCTCAATAATTGATTGTATAATATATATTTAGTATAAATAATTATTGACGTTTTATAAAGAAGAATCAAGTTGTATTGATGTGGTCGATGGAATCCCATTGCCTTTTGGATCTCCTGAAAGAGCTGGCTACATACAAACTTAAATTTTACTAAATTAATGATTCCAAGCCATTTGACTTAATTTTATACTAGTAGCACATTAATTATTTTATGTTTCCTGTATAATCATCTGTCTTTCCTCATATTCTCTTGGTTATACTTATTTTTCAGGATCTCCCTTAATTCTTCTCTAAGTTTCCGTTAATTTGCAACAATAATGCCAACTTCATAAGATAAACTTTTCTTTTTTATTAAGCAATAACCTATCCACATTAATCATTCCAATTATTGTTTATGGATTATATATATATATAAAATACAATGTAAATTAAATTGTTGCGTTCTTGCATATAGTGTAAAAAAGCTTAAATTTGAAACTAAAATCACCAATCATAAGGTATTAAAAAAAAATCTTTAATGTATTTTTTTACTTTTAAATTAACACCTTATTTACAACTTTGTCATATTGGCCCTCTGTTTATTATTTTACTCATACAAATGTCACCATTTATTTAGTTATTGAAGGCCACTTAAACTTAAACTTGACCGATAAAAATGTTTAATACTTATTAATTCTATTTATGATTGGAACTTCAACTTTAATTTGGAACGTTCAAATTAATTAATGTAGAAAAAGAAAAAAAAAAGAAAAAAAAAAACCTCATGTTCAGTATTTCTAATTAATTAAATCTGAAGTTTGTGGTGGGAAATTCGTAAAGAGCTAGGTGGTCCATAGGCTTTTGACATATGTTGAGCTGTGAAGGTCCTTGATGATGAGCAGCTCAGACTATTGAGCTTGTATGATTTGCTATATCCAAGAATCCTTGACGTACGCGATGGCTTCTTTAATTTATTTGCAAGAGATAATATTGTTTTGTTTAGTAATATATGCAGTAGTTTTTTTCACTGTTTATTCCTTGCATTCAAACTTAATCTATTACACTAGTATATGTTATTAAATGAACCAATGCTTATTTACACCAATTCTATGAACCATTGCCTTTTCCCCATCATTTATGTATGAATATGTTGTTAATAGTGTATGAGATCAGAGTGTGCCACTATATATTAACACTTTGTAATAAAATAGTTCTGTAAAGAGAATACTTAATACTGTGTATTTTTGATGAAGAGTTTTTTTTTTAAGAGATTCTTCCTAGAGCTAATGAAATAAGTTCATCAATTTACAATGAAAACAAGTTATTATTAATGTATATAAAATACTCCGTAATGAGTAAATACAAACTTTTCAATACCATCCAAAAGGAAGAAAAAAAAAGTTTTCAGAAATAGCAATGTATGTGGGAAGGCTATAGGAAGCTTGTGTTATGATTTGGTGAAAATGAACTAAAGGAAAAAGTAGATTAAGCTAATTGTATATGAAATGAACACATATAGGTTAACCTACGTACGCTGTATATGAAGTTTCCAAAAATAGCCCTAGATGACTAGTGAGTGAAAAAATGCAAAACATGCATGCAATTACTATTTACTAGGCATAATTATAAAATGAAGCACCATGAACGGTGGCAGATGGCCAATCAATATGACTACTTTTGAACAGCCTTTTTCTGACTTTTCCTGGTGCATTGGACCCAATATTGGAGGAGATTTCCAAAAGTAACAAACACTTTTCCAACACTTGTGGAAACCTAACTTTCTTTGCTACTCGTATATCTCCACGAGTACCAAGTATTGAAGAATCTGCACAATGGCGTTTGTTAATTATTATTAGTTGCTACAGGGACAGCTTTCAAAATGACTTCCTTAATAATAGGGAGTATGTTACTTTTGAAAAACGTGCATATTGTCTAAATATACGAAGTATTAGTTTCGATGTATATTTTTATTATAATATAATTTTTTTTTATTTATTTTATACGTAATTAATTAATTTATTTATTTTATGCAATTTGAATGAAAACTGCATAAAATTAGATAGGCATTATAATTGTGAGATGGAGAGAGTATTATTTTTTTACTTTCACTTTTGATTTAAAATGTTCGGAATTTTATTTTGATGTTTTCACTTATTTTATTTTCTTCCACAAAAACTATGTAATTTCAATGAGTCAACCCATTCACCCTTCTTTAAAGATTTCTTCGCAATAATGGCTATGCAGAAAAACTAAAATCGTCGCATTTTCTTTTACTATAAGTTGGTTTTCATGTAATTTTATATATTATATCAGTTAATTCAAAAAGAAAGTGATATTGTCTTGTTACCAATTTATATAATAGTTTTTTTTTAACTAGAATAGATTCAAAACCTCTTGTGTACAATGCAAGTATTGTTAATTTTACTATCCTTTTAAACCATGGTATATGTAGGGTGTAGCAATAATATAATTATCCTTCCCCAATAACAACCCTCCTCTGTTAAGGTCCACTTGATTCTCGGCCGTAAATTATGTAAACGAATGGAGCATTAAAGTAAGATGTAATCACGTAATACAGTTAGTGTATTCTATAACAAAGTGGGTCTTATATATAATGTACCACAAGTCACGACACGTAGGATACAATTTTGGGAGAGTCTTCCCTAAGCCACTGCTATAAAAGGGGTTGGATTCCTCTTTAACGTGAATATATCACATTTCCCTTGTTTCTCTTTTCCTATTACCTTACTTTCATTTGCTATATACATCTCACCACAAGTTTACGCAAATCTTCTCAAAACAAAAATACTGCTAGTATTACTGAAAGAAGAAAGTGCAACTAACCTCGAATATAATGGCTCTTCCCGTAACTGATGATTTTGGAAAAACTCTTAGTGATGCCTGGGACTACAAAGGTCTTCCTGCTAACCGCAGTAAGACTGGCGGTTGGATTCCATCCGCCATGATTTTAGGTCGCCATTTCTTATCCTTTTAATACATTCTCTCGCTTAGTTTGTTTTCAAGAAAGTACTCGTTAATTAGTTGCACATCTAATAATTGTCGCATTATTTGAAAGCACATCGAATTTAGATTTGTTTGTTGTGGACCAGGTGTCGAGACATGTGAGAGGTTGATAACATTAGGGATTGCATTTAACTTGGTAACATACTTAACTGGGGTAATGCATTTGGGGAATGCTACCTCGGCTAATACGGTCACCAACTTCCTTGGTACCTCCTTCATGCTCTGCCTCCTTGGTGGTTTCATTGCTGACACCTTTCTTGGCCGGTTTGTTTCTTCATCACTCTTCCACCATTTTTTTCTTTAATTTTAATTCTTGTACAAAAAAAAAAAAAAATTATGTATAAAAAGCGTGGACTATATTCTCCATGATAAAAATTAAAAAAACGCAATATTTCCTTTTTTAATTAACATGATGCATGAATTATCCCGAAATTGTTGGTCACTAGATAACCCTCCAAAAAGTAGCGTTTATATAAAAACACACAAATTGTTTTTTTGATATTTGCTTACTTGTATTCTGATTCCTTTATTCTTGGATTTTTGTTTAACAGGTACTTAACCATTGCCATCTTCGCCACAGTCCAAGCATTGGTAATTAATTAAGATCACAATCTTCTTTTAACATCTTTCCTTATGAAATAGGTTTAGGGCCTTTTTTATTTAACTTATTTTCACTCATGTAAGAAAAGATTAGTTCAAGAAAATAATTTATGATAAGAGTTGATAAGAGTTACTGAAGTTCAAATTATTACATACAACTAATATAAATTTTAATAATTTGATAAAGTTCAGTTAGATAAGGTTAAAATAAAATCAGATGAATAAAGTGCACTCTAAAAAAATTCCCTTTTCTCCAATACTATAAATTGAATCTATTAATATGGACCATGCGTCTATAAAAAGACTACTTGCTATTTAAAAAGCTCAGGAATGTTACATATTGAATCAACCCCTTTATTGGAAAGTGAAATTTACTATTCAATCATAGTGATGATGATTTTAGTAGTAATGCTATATATGCAAAATAAATTAATCATGCACGGAATAATTCAATTGGCCAATACCAGCTATAAGAAAAAAACTGTAAACGTAAACTACGAAAATTAAAATTACACAACTTTTTATCATAACTCTAATTTAAACATTTTGTATGATTTGTTTCTATATACTGTATTGGATATACAAAACATGTAACAATGACCCTAATGATTATGAATTGAAACTGAAAATATGTATATGTTGATTGTGTAGGGTGTGACAATATTAACCATATCAACTATAATTCCGAATTTGCGTCCACCCCCATGCCCGGAGAACTCCTCAACGTGTATAAAAGCCAACGGGACGCAACTTGGCGTTCTCCACCTAGCACTCTACTTGACAGCCTTAGGAACAGGCGGTCTAAAATCGAGTGTATCAGGGTTCGGATCAGATCAATTTGACGACAAGGACAAGGATGAAAGAAGTATGATGACAAAATTCTTTAATTGGTTCTATTTCATAGTAAGTTTTGGGTCACTAGCAGCAGTTACAGTGTTGGTGTACATTGAAGATAATTTGGGAAGGCAGTGGGGTTATGGAATTTGCGCTTGTGCTGTAGTGGTTTGCCTAATAGTGTTCCTTTTGGGAACTAAACGATACCGTTTTAAGAAGCTTGCTGGTAGCCCGCTCTCTCAGATAGGCGCAGTTGTTGTCGCGGCTTGGAAGAAGAGAAAGGTTGAACTGCCTGCTGACTCTTCTCAACTCTTTAGCGTTGATGAAATTGCACAAACTAGTGTTAAATCTAAGCAAAAACTTCCTCACAGCAAGCAATTCAGGTTTGTTTTCACTCTTGTCCTTTTTCTATTTATTTTTTTTCCGTTTAGGCTATGAAAATTTAGTCATGTGAGAAATGTTAGATTCGTTTTAATTTGATACTTTTTAAATATCATTAATCTTTACTCTTGTTGCATGTATAGTGAAACTTAGGCTGCTTAGTTGGAATGTTTTGTAATTATCTGCCGATTAGGTGCACTTCTCATATTAGTTAAATTGTGTTTTCAGATTGTTTGTCCTACGTAACACTTCTTATAAATATCTGGAAAATCAGTAGAAAAACTACTAGTATTAAGAGCCAATTAGTTATTATAAATAATGAATTAGAAACATTATTATAGACCAAGGTTGGTCAGGGAATCAGGGATAGTTACTGATTAATTAGCTGGCAATAAGTGGCAAGTAGTGATACATCATACATCCTAGTACGATAGTATATGTATATTCATCCAACTTGAGGAGACAAACTATCTTTTAATATGTATTTGTTTTGCTAAGAAGAGTATTACAACATTAACATCATCTCATCAGCCACTAGGAATGTCATGTTAAGTGAATGATAGTCCCTTAATTTGTTAGATCTTATCTGGACTAATCAAGTAACTTCAATTATATTAGTTAGGCAAGTTTTTTTAGTTTTCTTTCAAGAATGCACATAATACGGATAAATAAAGTTTACATGAAATGTCATTGCATGATTTAGTAATATCATATCAAATTTGTTTCTCAGTGAAACTCACAAACGATCCAGATAGTTAATTAATTGTCTGATTTCATAATGAAAAACTAGTACAGTATGTATTAGACAGAACTTTGAAAATATAACCATTCATATTTACAATAACTTAATTTCGCCTATTTTTTCTATGAAAAGAAAAGTGAGCCATGTGATTTTATGGACTGAATGCATGAATCAAATCAAGATGAGAAACAGAGAAGCTGCACATCCCAATCTAAGCGTGACCACCTGAAAATTAAGTTTGGCGGTTGTGACCACATAATTGTGTATTTGTCTGCTTTATTAACTTCTAACCTAATAATGTCAAAACAAGTTTTGGAAAAATGTTTTCATGAAATTGGTGTGGCTATGAGAATGAGCCACCAAATTTTAGATTCTCCATACTAGTAAAGATTCAGATCAGATTCTTTGGCATCAAATTCAACAAACCACTGCTTTTCTAACTTTTGTGGCTGCCACTAAGATATCTCCATTCACCACATCCATCAATTATGATCAAACACTCCGAGATTTTTTCCTATGATTCTATAAAGTTGGTCAATTTTAACTTTTGTCTTTTTGAAGATTTTAATGGTATTCAACGGTTCTGTTTGCACAAATATGTTTATAAGTAATGATCTTGATTTTGATTTTGTTACTTTATACTTTTTCTACTACAATACAATTGATTAGTTAATTTTTTTAGTCACTTAGTTAAAGTTATAAGCTAAGTTCAATTTTTGGCGTGAAACACATTTTTAGATTGTCCAAACCCGCACTTTATAAGACCTAATCAGGATGGATATAGTAGACCAATATGTCGGATCATTGATGATCAACTCTAGAGTATTTTACTTAGGAAGGTGTTGAATTTGGAATAATGTGTCAGTCACGAGCAAGCACGTAAGTAGAGTGGCTTGGTTGTTTTGATTCAAAGTCAAACCGAGAAATGACCTCCCCCAGTTATATAAACAAACAGATGAATACAGGAAACAGAGAGTGTGACATATTTCTCTTAGCTGTGCTCTATGCTAGCGTACACACCGCCCACTCTCAAACTCTTTGAATATTCATTTCTTCATTTGGAATCCACACTTTTGATTTTCACAAAATGTCCCTCATTAATACATTTTTAATAATACTCGGTAATACTAATTTAGTCTTTATATAGTCGACATTGCACAGTTTGCTAGCTAGATTCATTGGATCCCCTTTTTTCAAAGTATTTGTCCCTCAAGTAACCAACACTACAGAATTAAAATAGATGATCCCAGCAATTAAATTTTTTCTGCACTCGGAAATAAGTTTAATTTAAATAATCATGTTTACCTAATTATAATCTAATTCGTTGAATATTCTGCTGCATATGATTTGGTATGCCAATCCTATAACAGTACTATCTACTATTCCCCAACTTGTATGATCGACCTATCCCTAATTCATAGACTATAATCTATAATTATTGTCCCAACTTGTAAGACTTTTTTGGTTATTTAATTTTTTGGTGTTCATGTCTTTGACCTACATATTTATTAATATTTAGTTATATACAATAATTGAAGAAACTAACGTTAATAATTCTTGATCGATATAGGTTTTTGGACAGGGCTGCCATAAAGACCGCCGAAATGGGCGAAGACTTGGCCAGCGTAAGCAAATGGGACTTAATGACACTCACCGATGTAGAAGAGGTGAAAATGATCGTAAGAATGCTTCCAATTTGGGCTACAACTATAGAGTTTTGGACAGTTCATGCTCAAATGACTACATTCTCCGTGTCACAAGCTGTGACTATGGACCGTCACGTTGGTTCTAAATTCCAAATCCCACCAGCCTCAATGACGGCCTTCCTCATCGCTAGTATTCTCCTTACAGTCCCTATTTATGACCGTCTTGTGGCTCCTATTGCAGCTCGGTTGTTCAAAAACCCACAAGGCCTCTCACCACTTCGCCGTGTTGGTGTTGGCCTATTCTTTGCCACAATCGCAATGGGGGTGGCTGCCCTCACTGAGATCAAAAGGTTGCACGTGGCCAAGTCCCATGGATTAGAGCATGATGCAAATGCGATTGTACCAATATCAGTATTCTGGCTAATTCCACAATTTATATTAACCGGTGCTGGAGAAGCCATGATATATGCAGGACAACTTGATTTTTTCCTAAGAGAATGTCCAAAGGGAATGAAGACTATTAGCACAGGGTTATTTTTAAGCACACTTGCCCTAGGGTTTTTCTTAAGCACAGTGATCGTTTCGTTAGTGAACTCAGTAACTGCCCACACTACGCCCTGGTTAGCGGACAACCTCAACGAAGGGCGGCTTTACAACTTCTACTGGTTGTTGGCCATCATAAGTTTGGTGAATTTTGTACTGTTCTTGTTCTGTGCAAAGTGGTATGTGTACAAGGAGAAATGGCTGGCTGCTGAGGGATTTGAAATAGAGATGGACGAGACACCAGGCCCATCCTGCCACTGAGGCCCAACAAACAGAACAAATACAATCTTTTGCATGTACGTGCGTGTTTTTTTGTAACTATTGTCTTTGAAAAGATCATAAGTTTGGTAAGAATTCCTCCGTGTTCAAGAATTCATAAGATAGAAAGAAACAAGAGATGGAGGTGTAACATATTACATATATATACTCCATAAGTAGGATGACTTAATTTTGTCCATGGCCGAAACGCATATGGCTACAACCGCTTCGTAAGAACGGTTTGAATAAGGGGCCTTCTTATATCATACACAAATTTTCAATATACATCAACTCCCTTTTCTTTCTCTGCGTCTTATCATCTGCTCATCACCTGCAATTGTGTGATTTTCTTTCCTGTTTCTGTATTTTTTTTTATTTTTAACTTAATTATAAAAGAGTTGAAGCCCACAAATGAGCTTAAACTATTAACCTTTACTTGGGCCCTGATGGTAAACTGAAGTTTTATTGATGGCCCATGCAATGCCACAAGTATCACAAACACTTATAGGCCCAAATGCCCAATCATCCCTATTAGTGTTACCACAAATTATTATTATTTCAATAAATAATAAAGTAGCTCATCCAATAAATAGTTGGGGGGTTTGATCTAATTCGTGATCTGTACACCCGGGTGTATCATGTGCATGGTACACCCGGGCAAAAACGACATTCTCTTCTTCATAAAACGCAAGCACCAAATAAGCTTAAAAAAAAGCGGAAAGAACATCATGTTAGTAAATAATGAACATGCATATTCTAAAGAACACCAAGTTAAGATAAAAAGAACGCGAGATTTTCTTAGAATAAGACTTTAATTACGGGAAAAGATCTACCCATGATTCACATTAACTGATAAAATCTTTTCAAAAATTATCATTTTCCAAAATCAATTTCGCTCTCTCTCAAAAAATGCAGTTTCTCGTAATTTTTTTTTTATTCTCTAATATAATTTCACCTAAAAATAATTTAGGATTTCGTTTTTAAATTTCAAAATTCAAATTTTTAAATTTTATTTTCAAAATTTCAGCTTTCAATTTTTTATTTTGTTCATATTTTTCACCAATTATATATATAGTTATAATATTTATTGTAGGTTTATAAACTTGTAAAGTTCTATATGTGATTTAATAATGTTCTCTATTAGAAAACATGATGTACTTTATAGTTATTTGTAAATGTACAATTAATTTTCAAAACTATATTCTTTCCTTATGTCCATAATTATATCATATAATGATTTTTATTATATTAGATCTTTTGATACATTATTTTAAATGTCCATGTTCCCTGATTGTAATTGCAATGTACTTTTATGTCATATAATATTTATTGCTTATTGTGAAATGTTCTTTGAATTTGCATTTGAATCGTGGTAGGTATAATATATATAAGTTATGTTCATTACATAATATTATCATGTTCTTTAATAAAATTACGGATGTTTTTTAGATCCGAAAAACAATCATCAATAGAGGAGATCTCAAAAAAAATATCGCCATCAACCTTCATGATCCTGATTTCAAAAATAATATACATAGTTAATGATAATTAATATTTAAAATAATATAGAATTAATAATTGATATATTATTTAAAATTAATGTTATAATAATTCAAAGAACATACAGGATAAATCATAAAGAGCATCGAATCAAAGAACATACATGATCAAAGAACATTGAATCAAAGAACATAAGGGATAAAAATAAAGAACATAAGGGATAAAAATAAAGAACATTCATATGATTGTTCAATAATTATAATAACGAACATAAGTACACTTTATAAAGAACATCATCTTCAACCTTTGAAAAAAAATATAAAGAACATCATCTTCAACCTCTGTCATATGAATCTCAAATTCATATATATCAAAATTGAAAAAAAAATACTGATATTTGTACAATAATCGTTCAAAATAATAACGAAATATAATTAACCTAATAAGCAAAATTCTGAAATTAAAATCATAACAAATAAAATTAAATTACATTCTCCTACAATGTCCTCATATTCACCACCATTGTCAATATCATTATTATTTTGAGCATTATCAACAAATAAAGAATTAAAATCATGGCAAGATTTTGATTGGTACGACATTTTTTTGCTCTGTATTTCTCTGTCTACAAAATTCACTATAAACTTTGTTCTCTCTCTCTTAATTTGAAATTGAAATGTGGTGAAATTTAATTTTGAAAATTATTTAAAAAGGGAGAATATCACGTTGAAATCCCATGAATTGTGGAAGTGATTGGTTTTGTTTTTGTTTTTTTTTAAATAACAAATTGACAGCTTACAAATGAAATGTTAAAAACACATCATTTAACACTAGGTGTACCATGAGCATGGTACACCCTAGTGTACTATACAATTTTCAGATTTGATCTCTAAGTTCTCTAACCTTTTGCTCAGAAAAAACAATATTAACCATTATATATGGTACAACCTTTTATATGTATTTATTAGACATAAATCATTTACTTCAACCACTCATTAAAATCTTTGGAGGGGGGGGGGGGAGGGGGGGTTCCGCCATAACCAAAATTTGCCACTCCCGAAAATTTTCATGAAAGCATTGTTTTCTTTACTTATGTTAATAGATTGTTTAAACTATGCGAAAAAAGAATCTTCTGTTGTTAAATCATATGTCAATTATTTTTATTTTTTATTTTTAATTTATGTCCAAACTTACTATGTGAATTAATTTCTGACCCGATCCGGTAACCCGACCCGATTTCAAACTTGAACTCGACCCGACCTGACCCAAAATCGACGCGATTTGACCCATCTATCATATTTTGTAATAACCCAAACCACTCAAACCAAACAGGCCAAATTTTGACCTAAACCCGACCAGGTGACTCGAATCGACAGGTCTACCTCCTACCGAGTGCGAAATAAATTTCACTTTGAAAGGAGGGGTGGATGAGATTTAAACATGCGACTAGGTATCCTAATATAGTAAGGACTAGCCTTTTTAATAACCCTATATATATATATATATATATATATATATATATATATATATATATATATATATATATATTGATCAATGACATTCACTTCAATGTAAGGAGATTTCCCGAATTGAAATATAACATAAATTATAATAATTACTTAGCTCGTTGATTATTTTATTTTTTAAAAAAAGTCGCTTTCTCCTCTCTTTAGCTTCAACTAGCTAATCTTATTAATTGATTTACATTACAGAAGTAATTATTATGCAGAATTTTACATGAAAGATAAATTATTTATATTTGTCAAATTCATAAAGTTTCTATAAACCCAATCACTTAAAGCAAAAATTTGGCTGGATATGGGAGGAAGCTCAGAAAAGGTATCATGTATGATTACTGATTAGGTGTTGATTTATTTGGGTTATAATTCAATTCGTATTGATTTACATGCATGCATATAAGCATATGTGATATCATGCGCCAGGTTACGGTCGTTAGTTGTGCATGACCAGTGAAGATGGATATAAAAAATTGCAATGTGACTGTATACACTATTATCATTAATTTAACAAGTAACATCACTAAAATTAGAAAAAAAGAATATCTCATAATCAATTTGAATATCATACATCACCATGATTACATGTCAGGATAAGAAGAGCACAAGAATAGTATAATAACGAATCATATATGAACGAAATCATATCATATAAAATAAACTATCTTGACTCAAATTGGCTAACAAAATATATATACTTTTGTTGATGTCAATAATTTAGTCCGTCATTTTTCAACTTTAGCTATCAAACGTTGACGTCTAATTTGTTATGTTTTTAGATCAAGTGTGTTATTGTATAAGCTAAGTGGATTAAAAAAATTAGGGAAATTCTCAACAACGACCCCAACTTCTACTACGTATTAACGGTAACCCCTTTTTTTTTGGATTATACAAAATGACCCTAATTAAGAAATTTATCTCACATATGACATTAATGAGTGTTATTTATTTAAAAAAACTAACTATGATTAACTTGAAAAAAAAAAAAAAAAAAAAAAAAAAAAAAAAAAAAACCACCAACCCAGCCACCACCTCCACCCTCATCCCCATCAGATCTAACCAGCACTACCTCCACCCTAACCGGAGCCACCAATCCCCCTCATCTGAAACGCCGACACCTCCCACCCTCACCGGAGCCACCGTCCCTCCATCCTTTCCTCCGCCTAGATTTTTGGGCGGAGATTAAAGAAGATAAAGAGATCAAGAGAGGGTGGAGGAGAGGGCGGAGAAGAAACAGAGAGAGAGATCGGTGATTTGGTGGTCCAACCCTCGAACCCAGAAACCCCCACCCACCATCTCTGTTGAAATGAACTCGGCCCTCGAACCTAGAAACCTCCCTCAAAACCTTGCTCGAAACTATCGAAAACCCCACCCCACCGCCAATTTTTGGGTTTTGGAGTGGTATTCGTAGCGATTTTGCGGTGTCGGGACGGGTTACGGTGGTGGTTGTGGGCAGCAAGAAGGTGTTTGGGGGGAGGGCGGCAAAGAGGTGGTTGGGGAGTGGGCTGGCCGAAACGGTGGTGGTTTTGGGCGAGTGCAGCAGGTGGGTTGTGGGTGTGAAGGTGCTGTGATTAATTGAGGTTGATGATGTTAATTGGTGGTGCGGTGGCTTTGGTTGTGGTGAGGACTAAGGAGTGGTGCGAGGAGTGGGGGATGATAATGTTGGTGGTGGCAGGTGGGAAGAGGGTGGTAAGGAAGGAGGTGAGGTTGGCCGGAATCAATGGGGGATTGGGGGTTGGGATTAAATTTTTTAATTTTTCTTTTTCTTAAAAAAATATAAATATAACCATAGTTAATATTTAATGAAATAAGGTTATGGGTGGGATGAAATTTTTAACTATGGTCATTTTGTATAATCCAAAAAAAAGGGGTTACCGTAGGTGTGTAGCAAAAAATTGGGGGTCGCCGTTGAGAATTTTCCAAAAATTAAGATAATTGTTACATAACCTTTTAGTATACTTGAATCAGATTATCTCACACAAACTTATCATACGATCGATATTAAAAACTGTCTATACAGAAATAATTATGGAACCATTATTGTTATCATTTGAAGAGTACGTCAATCCTCTAAATCTTAATTAAATTAATTATCACCTTTTAGAAGACTAAAGTGTATGTATAGATAAAAAAATAAAATATGTACGTAAGATATCCATATGTATCTTTGGTTGAACTTTCTAGTTAAAATCAATATACTATCTCCGGTTTTTTTTATGTGCAACTTTAAGGAATATTTGTGAGATATAAAATATTCCAAAGTTGCACATAAAAAAAAACGGAGGTAA